GCCATCATGGCAGCAGTGGGTGTAGAGGTCATCCTTAAAATTTCTGCGTCGTTGTAGATCATTATACAAAAAAAATCACCAGAAAATCCGCTCAGACTGAAAACCTTTTTACTCGTTATATTTGGGTTTAAAAAAAAAAGAATAATAATTATTGCCTTAACAAACGCCTCCTCAACCCCCCTCCCTCCGAAATTTACTAACAAGTGCTCTATGAGCATTCTGTCTTTTTCTTAGTTCTGTAGCTAAGATAGACCAGCTTCGATCACTCACGAGTTGCGCACACATAATATTACAATAATGTCTCCGTGAACGTCTGAAGACGACAAGTAATTTAACAAAGTGAGCATAGGTTCAAATATAGCAAGAAAGAAACTAAGAAGAATGCTTTAAAACATTCAAACAATTGAAAGATATATTATAGTATAAAAAAGGATATATTGAAAATATACATTTAGTTCTATACTATGTCCTTTATTCGTCAAAAATACGTTTAATGCAACGAAAAGTGAATTATACTCAGAAAGCAACACCATCCCCCCCCTCCTAAAAAATTAACATACTTAAATTAACAAATTTAAACATATAAAAGCGTACTTTTTCCTTTCATTTTTTTGTGCATTCACAAATTCCTTTTACTGTATCATGTTTTGAACAAATTACAACAGAGGGAAATCAAAAATGAAATTGAAAATGAGAACAAAATATTTCTGAAAGAAAAGTAATCTACCTATTTCTATAACTGACAAGATATAATTATTTCTATGGAATAATGTAAATCAAAATGTTGAAGGAGACATCGTTGCCGTTTTTCTTTTCAAATCCGCACAGTGCTGAAAAAACAAACAAACAAACAAAAAAATTCGCCAATAATTTGAAGTCCAGTTAAACGAACCAAATGTAAAAAACAAAACAAAAACAAATCAAGCCCCACCCAAACAAACAAAACAATACCAATTACGAAAAACACCCCACCACCCCCGCCACACAAAACAACAACAAACAAACAACCCCGAAAAAAGCAAAACAACAACAACAACAACAACAACAACAACAACAACAACTACAAAAAAAACAACTCAACAAAAAGCCCTCAAAGAAAGAAACCCAAAAGCAAATCCAGATTAAACAAACAGAACAGAAAAAGCAAAACAGAGAATCCACTCCCCCCTCCCCCCCCAACCAAATTGTTTAATTCCCCCTTTTTTTTCAGTAATGACGTCGCACGCAGGAGACCTGATATGAGTTCAAATCCTCTCTGAGGAGAAGTTCTTATTAAGAGAGAGAACGGAAACGTTTTTCTTTCTGTATAGAATTAATGTTTTAATGAATGTTTCTAGTTACACACGTTTCAACTTTATTGTGACCGTTCGTGAATTCTTATTGCATTGTATTTTTTTTTTAGTGAACACATTTTCAACCTCACTGTAAGACTATTTTTCTCCTATAAAATTTTACACATATGCATTTATATTATGATAATACGTTGTTTTACGTACACACTTGTCGATTACTTTTTAAGATATTATGTCTTTTTCGTTGTAATGCGCAGTGAGCATCTTTTAAAAAATGGAAATGCGCAGTATAAATGCTATTTATTATTATTATTATCATCTTGGTCTTTCTGCTGTATCCCTCTAAACCCGGGTTGACACTGACAAGCAATGTCGGAAGCCCGCCTCCAAAATGATCTAAATTGTGTCGATGAAGTGTGTAAAAACACATACAATTAAGATTGAAAGTGTTACCCATGTCGCTTATAAACTGGTTTGAGTTTGACGCAAAAGTCCACGTTATAAGGTTCTTTAGTTAATAAGTAAGACTTTCGATTTGAACGCCCATCTCCGATAGGACAGAGCCAGGAAAAACGAAGAGCCCTGAAAAATACCTAAACAAAACAATAACACCTCGGGAGAGAATCAAATTAGGGAATAATGAGTGTAAGTAAGCTCTCTATGAATCAGGGTCATAATGTGTAACATAGATTAGCAGGGTACCAACTGAGCTATGGCCACATTTGGAGTGAGACTATTTTGGGAAGGAAGCGGTTTGTCTTGGGAAAAGCCATTACTTAATAATAATAATAATAATA